CTGGTTTAGGCAACTTGAATGGTGTAACAACTTGATGGTTTCTAGTTTTCCTTGACTGGTAGCTAGGTACCTTGACTGGTGCTATTTCCCTTGACTGGTACCCAGGTACCTTCACTGGAATAGGACCTTCACTAGTGCTATGTCCCCTTTATGTTAGCTAGGTACCTTCCTGGTAGCTAGGACCAACTGGTAGTAGGCAACTGCTGGGTAGGGAGGACCTTGACTGGTGGCTAGGTACCTTCACGGTAGTAGGTATTCATGGGAGCTGGTACTTCACTGGTATTAGGTACCTTCACTGGTAGCTAGGCACCTTCAGGTAGTATGTACCCTTCACGGTAGTAGGTACCCTTTCCCGGTAGTAGGTCCTTCAATTGGTAGCCCGGTACTTGGGCTTTTGCTAGGTTCTTGATGTTAGTAGGTACCCCCATGGGAGCTGGGACCTTGTGGGAGCTAGGCACCTTGACTGGTGCTGGTACCTTTATGGTAGCTAGGTACCTTTGGTAGCTAGGGACCCTTGACTGGTAGCTAGGCCCTTGACTGGTGGTAGGTACCTTGATGGGGCTGGTACCTTCATGGTTTGCTAGGCACCTTGAATGGTAGTAGTACCCCAAAGGTAGTGACATGTTTATGGAGGCTAGGTTTTTCATGGTAGCAGGTAAATTCATGGTAGCTAGGTACCTTCCGGGAAGCTAGGACCTTTACTTGTAGCGGTAGCAGGTCCTTCACTGGTTGCTAGGTACCTTCACTGGTAGCTGGTACCTTGATGGTATTAGGTACCTTTACTGGTAGTAGGTACCTTGACTGGTAGCTAGGTCCCCTTTACTGGGCTAGGTACCTGACTGGTCTAGGTACCTTGACTGGTAGTAGGTACCTTGATGGTGAGGTACCTTGTGGTAGTTAGTTACCTTGATGGTAGCTAGGTTCTTGCTGGGGCTAGGGGAAACCTTGCTGGAATATAGGTACCTTGACTGGTGTAGGTCCCTTGATGGTAGTAGGGCCTTGACTGGAGCTAGGTACTTTATGGTAGTGGTACTTTCACTGGTAGCTGGTACCTTCACTGGTGTGGTACCTTCCCCTGGTAGCTGGTACCTTCAAGGTAGCGGAACCTTGAGGTAGCTAGGTACCTTTACGGTAGTGGTACCTGACTGGTAGTAGGTACCTTGATGGTAGCTAGGTACCTTGACTGGTAGCTAGTTTCCCTTTTGGTAGCAGGTACCTTGACTGGTGTAGGTACCTTGACTGGAATTGGTACCCTTTATGGTAGCTAGGTACCTTGATGGTAGCTGGACCTTGACTGGTGCTAGGTACTTTATGGTAGTAGGTACTTTCATGGGAGTAGGTACCCTTTACTGGTAGTAGGTACTTCACTGGTAGCAGGTACCTTCAAGGTAGTAGGCACCCTTTATGGTGTAGGTACCTTGATGGTAGTAGGTACCTTGAGGTAGCTAGGTACCTTGATGGTAGCTAGGTCCTTGACTGGTAGCTAGGTACCCTTTCCCGGTAGGGGTCCTTTATGGAAGCTAGGGCCTCACTGGTAGGTAGGTACCTTGACTGGTAGCTAGGTACCTTCAGTGGTAGGTAGGTCCTTCACTTGTAGCTGGTACCCTTTATGGTAGGTAGGTACTTGACTGGTTGGTTTTTTTTTTTTCCTTCCTGGGAGCTAGGTACCTTCATGGTAGTAGGTACCTTCACTGGTAGTAGGTACTTTATGGTAGCTAGGACCTTGATGGTAGCTAGGCCCTTGACTGGTAGCTAGGTCCTGATGGTAGCTGTTACCTTTACTGGTTCTAGGTACCTTCATGGAGGTAGGTACCTTGACTGGTATAGGACCTTCACTGGTAGGAGGTACCTTCACTTGTGCTAGGTACCTTCAATGGTAGGAGGTACCTTGATGGAGGTGGTACCCTTTCCCGGTAGTAGGTACCTTCATGGTAGTAGGTACCTTCATGGTAGCTGGTACTTCATGGTAGCTAGGCACCTTTACTGGCAGCTAGGCCCTTGATGGTAGTAGGTACCTTGACTGGGAGAGTTTCCCGTGGTGTAGGTACCTTCACTGGTAGGTAGGTACCTTTTATGGTGTAGGTACCTTATGGAGGTAGGTACCTTTACTGGTAGCTGGGACCTTCACTGGTAGGTGGGACCCTTCACTGGTAGCAAAGGGACCTTCCTGGTAGGTAGGTACCCTTTATGGAGCTAGGTACCTTCACTGGTAGGGAGGTCCCTTTATGGTGTAGGTCCTTCACGGTAGTAGGTACCTTCCTGGTTCCCTTTTTGTTCCCCATCCCATATCCGAATAGGGCAAGGATGTCAGCCAGCCCGTGTCTTCCTTTGCAGTGACACCCGAATTGCATGACGTGTTTCCATTGCAGACCCCTGCAAAGCTCCCGGCGGGCATCAACCAAATCTTTCATGGGCTGCAGAAAAAAATTTTAAAATTCAAAGATGAGAAATTTTAATTACTCAAAATTTGGGAAAAATGAGGGAAATTTAAAAATTCATAGGTACAAAAAAATTCTGGCCCCAAAATGAGCGAAACACCAAGTCAAAGGGGCCCGGGGTGATTATGTGGAGGATTACCTTCAAGGACCATAACATTTTCAATCGCATTGCTAGAAAAAAAGAAAGGGTGGATAATGAGAACCTTTAAAATAGGGAGGCCCAAGCCCATGATGACACTCTTAGGGGCACTTGTTCTTTAGGCTGGAAAATTGTGCCTCTAACGCACCTTTCAAAGGGAGGGGAAAATTTCCCCCACCAGAAAATGTACAGAGAACTTTCCGGCGGCAAACGGAGAAAAAACCTCAATTACTGGGGGCGCTTGAGGGTTTTAAACCTTATTCCCGGAACGCGGGGGAGAGATACATGATTATATACACCCGGAAAATCCTAGAGGGACTAGTACGAACTTGCACACGAAAAACACTCATACGAAAAACAAAAAACTTGCAGACGATGCACCATCCCCCCAAAGAAAAAACAGGGGTGCATAGCACTTTAAAAGGGCCATACAAAAAGTGTCAGGGGCCCCCAGAGTTCAACTGCCCCCAGCACACATAAGGGGGATTACCAACAGACCCCCCGGCAGTCTTCAAGTGGCACTGGACAAGCACCTAAAGTCAGTTCCTGATGCGGGGTGGCCTAGTTTGGGTTTGCGTGCAGCCAAACAGGGAACAGCTGGTTATCAGGCGCTGATCCCCCAGGGGCCCGGTACAGCCGGGCCCCCCGGGGGGGGTTTTACCCCCCAAACTCCTCCAGGGAAACTCCAGGAAATGGTAGCTAGGCACCTTCCTGGTAGTAGGCACCTTGACTGGGAGTATTACCTTGACTGGTAGCTAGGCACCTTAACGGGAGAGGTCCCTTTATGGTACTAGGCACCCTTTACGGGAGTAGGCCTTCACTGGTAGGTAGGTACCTTTACTGGTAGTAGGTACCCCTTTACTGGTAGCTAGGTACCTTTTACTGGTTGCTAGTTTCCTTCACTGGTAGCAAGGGACCTTCAGTGGTAGCTGGTCCTTCACTGGTACCAGGGACCTTTATGGTAGTAGGTACTTTCACTGGTAGCTAGGTTTTTCATGGTGCTAGGGACCCTTTCCTGGTAGTAGGTACCTTGATGGTACTAGGTACCTGATGGTAGCTAGGTACCTTTACTGGTAGTGGACCTTGACTGGTAGCTAGGCACCTTGCTGGTGTAGGTAAAATTTACTGGTGCTAGGTACCTTGATGGTAGCTATGTACCCCTTTAATGGTTGGGTAGGTACCTTCACTGGTAGTAGGGACCTTCATGGTAGCTAGACCTTCATGGGTTTCTGGTCCTTCACTGGTAGCTAGGTACCCTTTGTGGTGCTAGGTACCTTCACTGGTACTTGGTTTTGTTCATGGTAGCTAGGCACCCTTTACTGGTAGTAGGTACTTTATGGTAGCTGGTACCTTGATGGGAGTAGGTACCCTTTACTGGCGCTAGGTCCTTCACTGGTAGCTGGTACCTTTTTGGTAGAGGCACCTTGACTTGTGCTGGCCCCTTGATGGTATTAGGACCTTGATGGTAGCTAGGTACCTTAATGGTTAGTTAGTTTAATATGTTTTTTAGCATTGGCAGTAGGTCCCTTTACTGGTAGTAGGTACCCTTTCCCGGTGCTAGGTCCTTTTACTGGTAGTGGGACCCTTTACTGGGTAGCTAGGTACCTTGACTGGTAGCTGGTACCTTGGGCGGTAGCTAGGTACCTTTATGGTATTAGGTACCTTTACTGGTAGCTAGGTCCTTGACTGGTAGGTAGGTACCTTGATGGTAGTAGGACCTTGATGGTAGCTAGGTACCCTTTTGGAGTATTTTCCTTTCTGGTAGCTAGGGCCCCTTGATGGTAGCTAGGTACCTTGATGGAATCTAGGGATTTGATGGTAGGGTACTTGATGGTGCTAGGCACTTTGACGGTGCTAGGTCTTTCCTGGAGCTAGGGACTTTCATGGTAGCTAGGTACCTTATTGGTGCTAGGTACCCTTTCCCGGGGTAGGTACCTTGACTGGTGCTAGGTACCTTCACTGGAGCTAGGCACCTTGACTGGGAGCTAGGTACCTTGATGGTGCTTGGTACCTTGAGGTAGTAGTTACCTTGACTGGTGCTAGGTACCTTTACTGGGAGTAGGTACCTTGACTGGTAGGTAGGTACCTTGATGGTAGGTAGGTACCTTGACGGTAGGTAGGACCTTCTGTTAGTAGGTACCTTTACTGGGACGTAGGACCCTTTACTGGTAGCTAGGTACCTTTCTGGTAGGTAGGTCCTTCACTGGTAGTAGGTCCTTCACTGGAGGTAGGTACCTTGATGGTAGCTAGGTACCTTTACGGTGCTAGTTACCTTGATGGTAGTAGGACCTTGACTGGTGGTAGGTCCTTCATGGTAGGAGGTACCTTTATGGTGGTAGGTACCTTTACTGGTAGGTAGGTACCTTCACTGGTAGGTAGGTACCTTCACTGGTAGCTAGGTACCTTGACTGGTAACTACTGACCTCTGTATGCAGGTCATCTCACTTCCTCTGACAACACAATAATCTTGGCGCCACTTAGTTATTGTTGTTAGAGGTTTTGAGGGCGACCGAAACTCCGGCCTCTTGAGCCTTTGTATCTTTATTTAAAATTCAAATTTGCTTATTTCTTTGCAAGTTGTACATTTAGATTATGTATTTATAATAATGGGTAGCAGTACAAAGAGCCTCTCTTATGCCTGGGTATTATGGGCAGGCTTCATTTATATGCTTACTGGCTACTTAACACTAAATTATTATTAATATTATAATCAAGGGGGAAGCGCTAAACCCGGAGGATTATACAGCGCCTGGGGGGGGGGGATGTGGAAGGCATTCAGACTTAATTCGGGGAACTGGAGCATAGATTCGATTCCCTAAATCAAGAGCCCCTCACCAACATCAAGGAACCTTCCTTGAGGGGACTTAACACTAAAGAAATTTATCATAGTTGTACAGTAGTTCTATTAATTATAAGTGAATCTAATTTATATAAATCAAAGGATATATTCATATATTCAAAAATACTTTTTGTGAAACATGATTCAATTATATTCCTGTCGACAATGGACAATAGATTCAAAAGTAAATATTGAAATTATATTAAGGGAATTTTGAGTATTTAGTCTATCGTTATTAAGTTGTTTTTGATAAGTGTCTTAAATTGATTTTCAGACCGGGTTACTTCAGTATTTTCTGGCAATGAATTCCAAATTTTGGGGCCCTTTATGTGCCTAGAGTTTTTACACAGTGAGATAAGGAAACGGCGTACAACAAAAACAGATTTGCGTCTTGTGTTATGGTCGTGTGTCCTGTTAAGGTTGGTAAGACGTTTGAGTGGAGGGTTTATGTTTGTATGTATTGTTCTATGTATGTAGTAGGCACATGAATAAGTATGGATGTTCTTAATGGTGAGCAGATTTAGACTTCTGAATATTGGAGGAGTATGTTGTCGGGAGTGGGAATTTGTTATCATTCTGACTGCTGCCTTTTGCTGGGTTATTAGTGGTCTTAGGTGATTGGATGTTGTTGATCCCCATGCACAAATTCCATATGTAAGATAAGGGTATATGAGTGAATGGTACAGTGCCAGGAGAGCTGATTGTGGAACGTAGTACCATATCTTTGATAGAATAACTACAGTCTCAGAGATTTTCTTGGTGATTTGTTGTATGTGTGTCTGGAACTTAAGGCTACTTACTGTCTAGGTGGATACCTAGAAATTTTCCTTCTGTGAGTCTTGTGACGGGTGATCCGTTTAGCATTATTTTAAGTGGAACACTTGCAACTTTGTTTCCAAACTGAATGAAGTAAGTTTGGTCAGTATTTAGGGTAAGTTCATTAGTCATCATCCAGGCAGATATTTTCTGCAATTCACCATTGACAGTGTTTGCTAGTATGACTGTGTTTGGGTTGGAGAAGACGCATGTTGTGTGATCTTCAAATAATATGGGCTTGAGAAGCTGTGATGCATTCGGTAGGTCACTGATGTAGATGAGAAAGAGGAGTGGTCCAAGGACACTTCCCTGTGGGACTCCTACTGTGATTGGTTGAGTGGAAGAGTTTGCACCATTTGCGTACACATATTGGCTTCTGTTACTAAGGTATGATTTTAGGTAGTTGAGGGAGTGGCCTCTTATACCATAGTGTGTTAATTTAGTGTGCAGTAATTCATGATCGACTGTATCAAAAGCTTTACGTAAATCAATGAAAATGCCATCGGGACTTCTTTCTTTTCGAGGGCGGTATATATTAGTTCTAGCATGTGTATGATAGCATCATTTATGTTTTTATTATTTTTTAATCCAATGAAAGTAAGGAATAATGTACAAAGGCAGAAGGGAAGTGAGAGGTAAACACAAGCTCAATCTACAATATGTTACGGGGAAAAAGTTCCCAATTAGGTTAGTTGGATCAAACGCCTCAACCCCCGGGAAGGCAGAAACACACACTCAGTTGAGCCAACAGTCGGCTTCATCTTGTCTTAAAACACTGGAAGTGAACATATAATATGAAATGAAATGAAGATGTCTATTTTCTTGCAAAGCTTAGAATTTGTGGTTTACATGTTATAAAATATTAGTTACAAAAAAGGTCACTAGCATGCCTAGGCATTTCGGAGAGAGAGATTGGGGACGTAAATGATGACTGGGAAAAATTCAAAACAATGTTCACTACCATCCTTAAGTAAGTAAGTAAGTAAGTAAGTTTATTCAGGTATACACAAATACAGTTACATAGAATTATCATATATAGCAGCATATGTGTAGAGAACCTAGGATAACCCAAAAAAGTCAGACAGAGTGACTTATTTCCATTGGGGTCCTTGATAATATTGCACCAGTTAAAGAGGTTAGAATTAAACGAAGAACTGAACCCTGGATGAATACTGAGATATTACATAATATGAAATTCAGAGACCAGCTGCTAAAAAGATTTAAAACAAACAGACAGGATATTGCAGCACTAAATGAATTCCAAAGGGTGAGGACAAGAGCACAGAGACTTATAAAAGGAGCAAAAGGCAAAGCCCCTTGTATGCAGAGAATTATGGGCAGCTTAAAGTTAACTTAAGATTAACTAAGCAATGAAGTATTCAGTGGTAAAAATTATATTAAACAAATAACAATTAAGCACAAATGAGTATTACAAAGACAGGTCATATGGTCATTTACTGTGTTGCTGAGCATTCAGTAGAATGGAGTATTCTGTTACATAATGTAATTAAAAAAAAAGTTTGATAGATACAATTATTCAGTATTTATTTAGTTGCGGATGAGTAAGTGATTTTTAAGAAGAGACTTGAATTTATAAACAGACAGTGTTTCTTTTATATTCACAGGTAATGAATTCCAGATTTTTGGGCCTTTTATGTGCATTGAGTTTTTGCATAGCGTGAGATGGACACGAGGAACATCAAAGAGTGATCTGTGTCTTGTGTTATGGTCATGTGTTCTGTTGAGGTTGGTAAGATGTTTGAGGGGAGGGTTTATATCAGAGTTAAGTGTTCTATGTATGTAGTAGGTGCAGTAATAAGTATGGATGTTTTGTATGGTGAGTAGGTTTAGAGTTTTGAATATTGGTGGAGTGTGCTGCCTGTAGTGGGAATTTGTTATCATTCTGACTGCAGCCTTTTGTTGGGTAATTAATGGTCTAAGATGGTTTATTGTTGTTGAGCCCCATGCACAAATTCCATAGGTGAGATAGGGGTAAATAAGCGAGTGATATAGGGCCAGGAGGGCTGACTGTGGAACACAGTACCGTATCTTCGATAGTAGGCCTACAGTCTTGGAAATTTCCATGGAAATTTGTTGTATATGTGTTTGAAATTTGAGTCTATTATCAAGGTGGATTCCTAAGAATTTTCCCTCTGTGAGTTTTGTGATAGGTGAACCGTTTATCATTATGTTAAGAGGGACATCTGTAGCTCTGTTACCAAACTGAATGAAGTAGGTTTTGTCAGTGTTTAGAGTAAGTTTGTTAGTCATCATCCAGGTAGATATTTTCTGTAATTCGGTATTTACAGTATTGGCTAGCGTGACTGGGCTCGGGTGAGAGAAGACGTATGTAGTGTCATCTGCAAATAGTGTGGGTTTGAGTAGTTGCGATGCATTTGGTAGTTTATTTATGTATATGAGAAATAGAAGGGGGCCAAGGACACTTCCCTGTGGGACACCAACTGTAACTGGGTGTGTGGAAGAGTTTGCTCCATTTGTGTACACATATTGGCTTCTGTTGCTGAGGTATGACTTGAGGTAGTTGAGGGAGTGCCCTCTTATACCATAGTGTGACAATTTTATATGGAGTAAGTCATGGTCAACTGTATCAAAAGCTTTATGTAAGTCAATGAAGATCCCCAGTGGGACTTCTTTTTTCTCTATTGCAATGTATATGTGTTCTAGCATGTGTATAATAGCATCATTCGTATTTTTATTAGGCCTGAACCCAAATTGACAGGGGTTGAGTATGTTATGGGAGATGAGGTAGGAATAGATTCGCTTATGAATTAATTTTTCGAAGATTTTAGAAAGAGGGTGTAAGTTGGATATTGGCCTATAGTTATTTAAGTCTGTTTGGTCTCCTCCTTTATGGATCGGGGTGACCCTTGCTATTTTGAGAACTGTAGGGAAGGTAGAGGATTCTATGGATTTGTTAAAGAGTGTTGCAATGATTGGTGACAGTACTTGCGATGCTTTTTGTATATAAAGGGTGGTAAGGTATTTAAATCTCCTGTCTTGTTTTTTTAGTGTGTTGATAACAAGGGAGACTTCTGTTGGGTTAGACGGAGCTAGGAACAGTGTGTTCGGGTAGTTGCCAGTGAGGTAGTTATTGTCCAGCACCACTAATACCGTACCGGAGGGGCTCAAGGAGGCTGAGTTACTCCTATCTTCAAGAAAAATAGTAGGTCTGATGTAAGCAACTATAGGCCTGTTAGTATACTCAGAATAATACCCAAAATTCTAGAGAGGGCGGTGTACTGTCAAGCAGTTAAGTACCTTAATGACAACAACATTCTCCATAGCTATCAGTCAGGCTTTAGAAGATCTTACTCAACCGACACCTCCTTAATGAATCTGATGGATTACTTGAGAACTGAAATGTCAACGGGGAACCTCATAGGTATGGTAACCTTAGACCTGCAAAAGGCCTTCGATCCTGTCAACCACAATATATTATGCAAGAAACTTCAAGCTATCGATATAGGTTCTGTAGACTGGTTTAAGTCCTACCTTAACAACAGGAGACAAAACGGAATCAGAACCCCTGCCGATAGCATGTGGAGCTCCCCAAGGTAGCATTCTGGGTCCCTTATTAATCCTATGCTATGTTAACGACATGCCTATCAGTGTCAAGTGCCAACTCCTATTGTATGTAGATGACAGTGCTCTGATAGTGTCAGGTAAAGACCCACAAAATATAGCTAATGTATTAACACTGGAACGGGAGTCCTGCAGCAAATGGTTAGTAGACAACAAACTATCATTACACCTCGGGAAAACTGAAGCCATTCTCTTTGGCACGAAACATAAACTGAGAAGGGTAAATAATTTTAATGTTCAGTGTA